AGCCCATGGGCCATGTGGCACGCTGCATGTGGCTGTATAAGTACGAGGTCGCTGCTTCAATCAAGGTATCTACACCACCCCACCAAGAGAAAATTCATGCTGAGAATCAGGATTGACGTCCAAGTTGGTGTAGCTTCTTGCGCTCTAATCGCGTACCTCTACTTGAAACATCGCAAGAATTCACGGAGACTACCTCTTCCTCCTGGCCCCAAAAAGCTACCGCTCATTGGGAACCTCCTTGACATGCCGAAGAGCTCTGAATGGATAACTTACCACAAGTGGTGCCAGGATCTCGGTGAATATTTCCTTGAATTCAAAATCGGCGCTCACTCGAACTTCTCATGTTGACAGGTTCCGATATCGTTCAATTGAATGTGGCAGGCACCTCGATAATTGTCTTGGACAGCGAGGAGGCAATATCTGAACTCCTAGAGGAGCGGTCTGCCATTTACTCAAGCAGGTAATTACTACATGGTTCCCACACTTATGCAAGTCTCAACTGAATCTCCCCATATTCAGGCCGAGAATGCCAATGATCAATGAGCTGATGGGTTGGGGCTTTAATTCTGGTATGATGCCGTACGGTGAGTTTTTTCAGTGCCGGTAAATCGATCTAGTAAACTCGAACACTTTGGCAAGGTGATGAATGGTGCGTTTTCCGATATTAATTAGATAGCTGAATCCCTGATTTCACTTTATTTATATCTCTCAGGCGTTCGCATCGCCGATTGATGCATAAGCAGCTCCACCAGCCTGAGCGCTTCCAACCACATCAACTGAGGGCTACTCACGGCCTCCTCCGTCGTCTCCTCGACGAACCAAACAACCTCGAGCGTCATCTAAGACAGTAAGAAAGAAGCCCATCCAAGTCTATTTCCAAATAAGATTCAAATCATGCTCTTTTTCAGGATGGCTGGCGAAACCATCATTTCGGTTACATATGGGATCGAGGTACAAGATAAAGACGATCCCTACATCATCGCGGCTGAACGTGCAATCGGACCTCTCTTCATTGCTGCTATACCGGGGACCTTTCTAGTTGACGCACTTCCGATTCTCAAGTATGTGCCGGATTGGATGCCGTTCGCTGGTTTCAAACGAAAAGCAAAAAAATGGCGAGAGCTGGCTTTGGCGATGGTGAACATGCCGTTTGAAGCAGCGACGCGCAACGTCGTGAGTTTATGCTATATGGCATCTTAGCAGGAAGTTTGACGCAACTACAACAGGAAAATGGCGATTTCGTGCCCTCGTTCACTTCATACAGCCTGGCAAACATGGACGATAGTGGGGATATCGAGTACCAGAAGTCATTTATTAAATCTGTCGCAGGCACAATGTATATTGGTGAGCACCATAAATATGCAGTATGATTCACAAACTAAATATATCTAGCTGGCTCTGATACGGTCAGTTTCTTACTTGTCGGCTTAATTTTCTAGCTCATGGGGAGAGCGATGATAGACCGTATCTGCGATATCGTCCTGTGTCCTTGGGCTGCTCTCTAACCTTGAGGTATTGAAGAAAGCTCAGCAGGATATTGACCGTGTTGTTGGCACAGATAGACTACCTACCTTCGACGATCAAGCAGCCTTGCCATATATAACCGCGATTGTCAACGAAGCGCTGAGATGGAGGGATGTCACCCCGATCGGTGAGAATATTAATATTCAGATAATACTCAACGTTCCAGCTGAAATTTTCATCAGGTGTACCACATTTGCTTGAAACTGAAGATGAATACAAGGGATATAGAATCCCTGCCGGCTCGATTGTGATAGCCAATATCTGGCATGTATGACCTCATTCTTCGCTAAGACATCCATTTAATTGCGTCTGGATAGGGCAATAACGCATAACGAGAAGATATATCCGGATCCGTTCACCTTCAACCCGGACAGGTTTATGAAAGACGGGAAACTCAATCCTGATATCAAGGACCCAGCAACCGCCGCGTTTGGATTTGGAAGACGGTAAACGTGAAGTGAACTGCATAATACATGATCTAATCTGGTCAACCCTTGATAGAATCTGTGCCGGGCGCCACATAGCACTCACAGCCATTTGGATAGCGGTAGCTTCTATGATTGCGACCTTTGACATTAGCAAAGCTGTGGACGACAACGGCGAAATTATTGAACCCTCTTATGAATATATTTCTGCTTTAGTTTGGTGCGTTCATTTCTTCTAAAGATTTGGTGTATGTATGTAAAACGTCGTTTCCGAGTCCAGTCAGCCCGCACCTTTCAAATGTTCGATCAAGCCGAGGTCTCCGAAGGGTGAATACTTGATTCGCGCGACTTTGAATGCAGAATGCAGATAATCTGCGATAACGCCCAAGATTGAATTGACACCATGGTTTTGTGGTTGCCAGCATCTAGTACGAAGTACTAGTAGGGAATTGATTTGTATGAGCTTTGAAAATCACTTTTTATACCTAACCCTTTTCAAACTAGGTGAAAAGTTACATTTAAGGTCAGTATTAATATCGACAGTCTGTGCGAGGTGCGGGTTCGGCAGGACCCATTCCTAAATGCACATGAGCTCTAAATTGACGTTCGATATTGCTCGATGGGTACCCAATTCAAGCGCAGATCAAGGTAGGCTTCCAGCGTTCAAGCACTCCAAACAATCATGAAACATGTCATGCGGCGAGAATTTCAAGTGTCAACGCCAGAAGACGGTGCCCTCGAACGGCGCACCGGTACGCGAGTTCCTTTGCTTCAGGATATCCGTGGTGTAAGTTAGATACGACCAATAAATCAGATTTCAGCCTCGTCAGTCATTATTATTATTATTATTACTTCGAATTGTATGTGGCGGTGGTGCTAGTAGGCCAATTGTCGACCGTTAGTTGGCCACGCTAATTACCATAGTAATGGGCAGAGACCTTACATCAGTGTCAAACTGAGCAAAAACTGGGTCGTCAAAATAACTCATCCGACCTGCCTGGCTCGAACAGGCGACATCAAGATGATCAGTTATCCATTACAGTCTTGCGCTCTTCCAACTGAGCTAAGGTCGGTTGATATGCAGTAAACTAAGATACTAGACACTGGTCTACTCAGAAAATGTGCCCTTTCTGTTCAAGTTGTTGTCAGTATGTCAAACACGAACACAGCAGGTATCAGTAACTTGATTAAGTGTGCACTGCTAACTTAGCAGTTTAACAGTACTGAGTATGTCGACAAGTGGCCACCGCCAACCGGCCATAATCGAACGCCGAACATCACCGCCAAGGTCTGCCCAGGCCCCGGGAAGCTCCCATATATGTTTGTCCGGGAAATGACCTGGATCTGGCCTAAAATCCGGTATTTCAGGACAGGGATCTCAAAAAAATTCCAGCACGTGACTCAAAAAGCGAAAAAATTTGGTGTTGATGGGTCACCACCGGTCATGATCCTCCTTTGAAAACAGACTTACAGCGCTATGCAAATCGATAGAGCAGCAGTTTCATTTGCTGCTCAGGTACGTGATTTGACAAGATGATGGCCGTTACTCTTAGACCGCCGATCTTGTGCACTGTACTATACCACGACCCATGTTTGTAAGGTGTGCAATGTGTTTCGATGACACTCTTTAGCGCTCTCTGGTATATGCCTTCAGTATCCGATCGCCATGAGACGAGAGTACACGACTGTTGTAATCAGTTTGCATTGAGATCATTTATATTAAAGGGGAAATTTTACTGTGTAGCGAAACTTCGGCACAGTGGCCATCACCTTGTCGAATCATGTACCTGAGCAGCAACGGTGGCAACGCTGCTCTATCGATTTGCATAGCGCTGTAAATAGGTAGAAATGTCCTCAAATGTTGGTGCCGTCAGTAGGCATCGGTCATTAGGCGTCGGCAACTTTCTGAGTGCCAAAATGTTTCATTCGGGCCTCAAATCCGGTATTTCTAGGACAAGGATTACGAAAAATTGCCGCCCGGGGGCCCCAAAATGCCCCCAAATCCGCCATTTTTGGGGTCTAAAATCCGGTATTTCCGGACAAACATATAGGGGAGCTTCCCGGGGCCTGTCTGCCCACTCCTTCGCCTATACCAACACAATGTCAACATTGATCCATTGCTTTGCCCGCTCCACTCGAAGATCAGAATCCATATTTTGACAGTTGGATAGAGCTGTGTCTTGGGCTTGTTTCAAGATATCTCAGCTCTCTTTTCGGCTCCGATGAGTCCATGGGGAGCATCTGAACACTTGATGGGAAGTATTCCTTCATTCTGCGTCAGCTGAGCAACCAAGTGAACATCCGCGCTAATTTATTTTGGAAAATTCTCATGAAACCCTCTGCAACAATAGTTCAAATGCGTTTGTAATGTCCATCGGCTAGGTCACCGGGATGCCTTGCAATATCCGACATTCTTCACCCGATGTCATCGCAGCAAACTGGAGGGACTTGGACAGATATCGAAGAGTGGCTACGAAAGATGGCCTTCAGACGCTTTTTACGACCTCAGCCGTCACCTTGGAAAAATCAATCCTCCCTGAACTTCCTGCAAACCTCGCGGTTCTTCAGGCGGCAAAACCCCACCTCAAAACCTCCGTATCCTTCACATGATAATGTTCCCCTTGTGCCGGCATGTCGTATATGAGCAGCGGCGTACCTTCCCTGAATCGTCATGCACCATGCGGGCTTCTTTTCGTGGGGTCTAAGGCATCGTCATCTTTCTATTATTATTTTGAATGGGCGCCAGCACCTAGTCTGATGTGTAGCATTCCTCATCTGACCATGTCCATTCCATACCACGCTGACAGAAAACACGACAGATGTCTATCAAAAGCGACTACAGGATGATTTCAGACCCTCTCTGAGTATGGACTCCTTTTCGCTCGGGATTCAATTCTGGTAACATCGTCACCCCCAAAAGTTACCGGGGTGGCAGAACTCCTCCACTTTTGCACACTTATGTTTCCACTACCAGTACAACGAAATATCTTGCTCACTTGTTCGCCTACTCTTCTTCGGATCCCTAGGCACCAGGCAAAATTCTGTCATCGCGCATTAATGGGGTAGTGGTAACCTGGGTCGTTGCCATGCGAAGCTCAAGCTCGACCCGCCGGGGGTTCGATTCCCCCTTAATGCATGACGTTCTTCTACACATCAATCAAGTGGCGCTTTTTGCCATGTCAGTCAGCGCCTCTCTCGATTCTACTGTTTGATGACTTCGCATTTCCTGATCAGCTCAATTCAAAACTCGCAAAGCGAACGCGATCTTTACAATAAATGCTATCCCCTCATGCCTCACGATTGATATTGCCTCACATACAAACGCCCGCACTATATAAAACATCACTATGCACTGTTTGTCTCCCCATTGCAGGCAGCGTTTCTACAACCTCACGCCAACACTTGCTCGAACATGACGATACAAACCTTGACACCAGAAGTGGCACTCGTCACGGGTGCGGCTCAGGGAATCGGCCGGGCCATCGCGCTGCGCCTCGCCAAGGACGGTTTTGACGTTGCAATAAACGATCTCCTCGCCGCTGAGGATGCACTAAACGGTGTCCGGAAGGAAATCACAGCTTTGGGCCGACGCGCATTCGTTTTCATTGGTGATGTCTCTGTGGAAAAAGATGTCCAAAACATGGTTTCTTCAGTTGTGGAGAATCTTGGCCAGCTGAACGTGGTCCGTCGCAGCGCTTTTCTTGCGTTTACCATGAAATGCTAATATTTTTTTTATCTAATTAGATGGTCGCCAACGCTGGTGTCTGCAGGTCCACACCAATACTAGAGAGTAAGCAACCTCTGTGCCTGACGCTTCGAGCATGATCATGACGACTATTCCAAACACGTAGCTGAGGTCTCCCAATGGGATTTTCTACTTTCAGTCAACGTCGTCGGCCTTTTCCTGTGCTACAAATACGCCGCCATGCAGATGATCAAGCAAGGCAAAGGTGGTAGGATTCTTGGAGCATCCTCTGTTGCTGGACGACGAGGTAAAGTCTATGTTTATCGAGGAAACCTATGCGCCCCCTAATATGTCTTTGTGCACTCAGGCGAAATGTACATGGGAACTTATAGCGCGACCAAGTTCGCGGTTCGCGGGCTCGCCCAGGTTGCAGGTGAGTAAAGCTACACTCGAGCGGCGATGTATGTATTCACATTTCCCATCCTTATAGCCAAAGAGTGGGGCCCACACGGAATCACAGTCAACGCGTACTGCCCAGGTACGCTTTCCCTCAAGGTTTAAACAACACCACTGATGTGTGCCGTGCCAGGTGTCACCGAGACCGATATTTGTATGTCGAACATCTCTCAGATCAGTCTGTCCGAGATTAACGAGGGGAATATCTAGTGAAAAACCTGTACGGGGGGGACACAAACTTGCCCGGGATTCTACAACTGGTATGTGGCTACTAGCTACTCAGAAACTTTCGCGAATCTGATGTGAATTTGGTACTGTCCTAGATGAGAGATACCTGTCCGGCGGGATACAACGGAACCCCGGAAGATGTTGCTGGTATAGTGTCATACCTCGCGTCCAAAGATGCTCATTGGGTTACCGGTAAGCTTTAACTGCCGTCTCTCGCATCCTTTCATCTATTAATGCGATTGATTTATGATTAGGACAAGGGGTGAGTCTTGCTTATCACATTTTCATATCGAATACAAGCTCAGTGATCATATTTACGAAGTTCGGGATTGACGGTGGGCGGGAGTGTTCTTGAACACACATATAAAGTTTTCTGAAGAATTACTTGAATTATATTTCGTGCATCTATATAACAACTTGAACTCAATGTATATCCCAGTCTACTTTTTCAATCCCTTCTTTATGGTATTATCATGCGCTTCGGCCTACTTTCGGAGGGGCGAAGTTCAAACTTCGTTTTAAAAGCCAGGTTGATTATAACACAGGAACTTCGGCAATAGGCTAGAATACCGGTTCTCTGCCTCCACTGTTGCATTTCGATTCTTGACTCAAACTCCGCGTGAACAGCCTTAAAGTTACTGTATTGGAACGCGACGAATAGTCTGGGCGCAAAAAATGAAGCTCCAGTCGCCCACTCCAGACTTCCCATTACACAGAGCCTAGCACGTTGCACAGTAAGTAAGTCTCGGATAGCAGCTCCGCGAGACTACTAAATTAAAGACATCTAGGATAATGATATCATATAACTTTCTTTCACCCATGGAACACGTATCTAAAGGCGTCGCATTTGTTACTGGCGCAGCGCAAGGAGTAGGGCGGGCAATCGCACTACGACTCGCAGACGACGGCTATGATATGGCGATAAACGACATTACTTCTTCACGCGAGAGCCTCGACCAACTGAGCCACGAGATCCTCGAAAAGCAGCATCGGAAGGTCTGCCGCGTTATTGGAGATGTATCTATAGAGAGAGAGGTGGAGGCAATGATCGAATGCGTCGTCGAGGATTTGGGCAGGCTAGACGTGGTAGGTTAAACTTCCGTCACCAACACATAGAGATGTGCTGACATCGCAGATGGTCGCTAATGCCGGCCTGAACCTCATAAAACCTATGCTCGAAAGCGAGTCGGCAGTTTCTGCCTGTTTCTTGGTGCAACTTTCTTACTATCGTTTCTACAGCCACCGCCGAGGATTGGGATCGCTTGTTTGCTGTGAACGTTCGAGGGACGTTTCTATGTTACAAGTATGCTGGGAAGCAGATGATAGCACAAGGAACGGGTGGGCGAATAATCGGCTCGTCTTCTGTTGTTGGAAAGCAAGGTGAGCCCTCATTCACACTCAAACTTACCGTATTCCGGCTCATTTCAAGGGATTCAGGAGAACAGAATATGTCGGCATACAGCTCTACGAAGTTTGCAGTACGGGGCTTGACACAGGCAGCCGGTGCGTCAGGATATGTCTCTTTCAACTCCTTGCCTCATTCTGCATCCTTTATAGCTCGAGAACTTGGCCATCATAATATCACGGTAAATGCATATGCACCAGGTTCATCCCCATGTAAATTATAAAATGTCGTTGCTCAAAATTTTTCTTCTGATTCAGGGGCAATCGATACGCCATTACGTTCGTTCTGATCTCATTGAATGTTTATCGAAGTGAATGACCTTTTCAGTGCAAAATCTGTCCGGAAGCCGCACGCATTTCTACGAAGAGGTATATCTATGTTCAGCATTCGATGGAACAAGCCATTTAGCAAGACGCTGTTTTAATTAGGAATCCAAGAAGGCCGCTCTAGGGCACATCGGCAAGCCTGTCGAGGTTGCCAGCCTCGTATCTTATCTCGTGTCGGAAGAGGCTCACTTTATCACAGGCAAGTGCCTTGTATTCTATCTATGTCGCCTCTCCCATTCTGAGCGATGCTACTTGTTTAACCCAGGTCAAAGCGTGAGGACATTTTCGTTTATGGGAAAGTTGACTAATATCTTGCTCCCTCGCGCAGGTATCTGTAAACGGTGGACGGTTCTTCGATTAGTTTATCTTCTGTATAAATGTACAGAATATGTCAAACGTCCTTGAGATGAAGATAAGATAACACGAGCACTGCCACATAATGGCTTAGGCGGCCGACCCTTTGGACTTCTGTGGGGCTGTCTTTGATTTATATCAAGGTCGTTCGCTCTGGAGGCATAGAATGAACATAGTTCTCAACTGTTGGATTTTGTTGGTCAACCAAAAATCGCTTCTGTGTCCTAACCCTCTCTCTTTACTTAGCAGTGCCCTGGGCTGTGCTTTTCTGGCAGATCTGTCTTCCATGTCTTCGTTTGTGATTGGCTACTGATAGAACTGGTAGTGGCAGGTGACTTATTCATGTGGAGGTTTCGTCGCTCGGGTTCCGGCCGGCATCGCCTGCCTTTTGCGGTACATGAACCTCGGTTCACCCTTCTATCATAAACAGACAGCTCAAGGTATCTCTACAATTCATCTACGCTCAATGTCTTCAGCAGTATCTTCGATCGGAGTGGCCCTCGTCACCGGTGCGGCTAGAGGAATCGGCCGAGCGATTGCGCTTCGCTTAGCAAAAGACGGATATGACGTTGGATTGAACGACCTTCCTACGGCAGAGGAATTATTAGATACGCTCAAGAATGATATCATCGCATTGGGACGACGACCATGCATAGTGGTTGGTGACGTGTCCGTTGCAGCGGATGTAGAAAATATGGTTTCCACCGTCGTGGAAAGCCTTGGCCAGCTAAACGTTGTGAGTTATAACTTCTTCGTCTCCCGTGACGTACTTGACTTCCTTTGCAGATGGTCGCCAATGCAGGAATCGCGAACATCTCTCCTCTAATTGAAAGTGAGTCTGTATTTATACCTCGATCCCCGTACATCGCTTATGAACCACATACAGTGAAGGTTTCTGATTGGGAAAAAGAGTTCTCGGTCCACGCCCTTGGCACCTTCCTATCATACAAATATGCTGCGTTGCAGATGATTAAGCAAGGAAAAGGCGGTAGGATCATTGGTGCCTCTTCCATTGGGGGGAAGAAGGGTAAGCTCTATCATACATACCATATCTGCCTTCAAGGCCTCATTGAGCATCAATTTTCAGGAATTGCACTCATGGCAGGATATAGTGCGAGCAAGTTCGCGGTTCGTGGACTGACCCAAGTAGCAGGTAATTATAAATGTCTATGCGGAGATGGTCACACTTAGGATTGATTCAACTCTAGCTCAAGAGTGGGGCCCTCACGGAATTACTGTCAATGCCTACTGTCCAGGTGGGTCTTTCTCAAATCATCTAATGCGCGTTGCTTTATAGAGATTTCTCTAGGTGTCATCGTGACAGACATGAGTGTGTCCAGTGTCTCTGCAGTTTCTTGCTCAGAGGCTGATACAGCGGATTTTCAGTAAAAGAACTATTTGAGGGCAGTCCCGATCTTATGGCAGAGTCGGGGAAGACACTACCCACTTGCGCCCTGGGCTACGATGGAAAACCAGACGACGTTGCGAGTCTGGTGTCTTATCTCGTGTCCAAGGAGGCCCACTTTATCACTGGTCAGTGTCCTAGGCTCCCTCATCACTCGATACTTTACTGCTCGTGAATTAACGGAACTTCATTTTTACCAGGACAAAGCGTGAGTTTTTTTGGTACAATCCATGGTCCTCGACTAAAATCGTGCCTTTTCGTAGATAACTCTTGACGG